AACCTCTTCGTAATCTAACCCTTTGTGACGTAACCCCTTATTTATCTTAAAATACCAATGACCATTTACCAGTATCAATTGAAATTGGAGTCATTAGACAATGCTTCAAAAAAACACTCACAAAATAACAAAAAATAACAGCATTAAAAACAATGCTCGAATAAAACCTTAAATTCTAGTTTTGAAAATCTTAACTTTACAAATAGCAATTTAGAACTTACAGCCATTATTTATACAAGAAAAAATGATCTCTGCATTCGAAATCTTGAGTGAAACTCCGGAGTTTGGTCCAAGTAAAACGCCTTTTTTTTAAAGAAATGGAGAAAGATGGTTTCAAAAAAGAATTAAACTTGCTGCCTTTTAATCTTAACCGGATGGCATAAAAATGTTTCCGAAACGCATTCAAAAATGCTCAAAACCTCTACAAAAAATAATTAAAAAAACAGATGCAAAAAACTTTTGAAATACTTTCAGAAATATAAAAAATCTTGTTTAATATAAACAATAAGAATGAAAAAGTCTCAATCTCAGAAGAGTTTGCTAATAGTTTTGAAAGTCGTTTAAAAGCTAAACCATTGACGCACTTCTTTGCAAATTGAGGTAAAAATATCCAATAAAAATTTAAAAACTGTTTTTACTTCTTCTTACTTAAAGCTGAACAAAACCAAGGTCGCCTTTAGAATCTCTCAGAAGATTAGATGTGAGTTGTGTGAACACTGATAAAATTGTTAGTAAGATTCTTTAGTTTTTTTAATTAATCATAGACAGAGAACAAAGAAATCTTCTTCATTATACAAAGTATATTAACAATTAAACTAACCAGCGGTAGAAGAAGAAGGTAGAGGGTTTTCTCAGGTAAATATAGAAACGACTGAAAATACATGTGTTATAAGAAGGAAAAAAAAACTGTGAACACTACCTCTAACGTCAAAGATGTCCAGCTGAAATTGAGGATAAAAAATAAATAAATAAATAAATTGTAGAATATCAAATATCCGGGCAGTAATCCAATCTTTAATTCAATCTGGAAATCGATTTGCTTATTCAAACTCTGTTTTTCAGAAACACAAAAAATTAGCCGTTTCGATACTAATGTATGGTCCTTTGAGAACATAAAGATGTTTTAATGCAAAAGCTTGATATAGTTGGTACAAGTAAGTCCTAAACATTTTCTAACACAGTAAAAATTATATTAATCTCTTATTTTTTATTTACGATATACTAACAATCATACAACAAAGCAAGCTAAACTTATTTATTTTTCAGTTGATCAATGAAATAATACTTGATATTGTTAAGTCGCAGCTAAAATATTAAAAATTTTCCGCATTCCATATTGCTCTACACACTTTTTAAATGGTGCAAAGGAATTGTGCAATAGTCATGAAAAAATCTAAAGCACGTAATGCAAAACAAAAAAAAAATTAAAACTATTGTCTAAAATATAGTTCCTTAAGATGATATTCCTATATTAAGTTGTGCAACTGAGTGCTGGAAAAGGGGAACAAAAATGTTCGTGAAGAAAAAATTCTATAATGATCTTATTTATTTGTTTGTTTATCTACATACAAATACAGTTTTTATATACATTTTTTTTTAATCATAATTCATCTTCCTAAGGTTGAGAAGGCCACAACAGACGAGGAGGCTACTTAATTGTGGTTATAACCCTCTCTCAGCTCTAACTCCGAAACACGAACTTTGGCCAATAAGGCCGCTGCGCAGAGAAACAAGTTGAGCGCGATACTACGAAGGACGTGGTAAGGATCGAATTCGGAACCTTTCGCTTATGAAGCCAGCGCTCTACCACTACACCACTACCGCATTAAATATAATATTTATTTATAATATTTAAATAATAAAAAAAAGTTTGATGTTTAACATTAAATTAATTAGATTCTAATATATATATATATATATATATATATATATATATATATATATATATATATATATATATATATATATATATATATATATATATATATATATATATATTTATATACATATATATATATATATATATATATATATATATATATATATATATATATATATATATATATATATATATATATATATATATATATATATATATATATATATATATATATATATATATATATATATATATATACAACAAAATAAGTTGAACGAGTAAAAGACAGTTTTGTCTGATTTACAAATATCGTATAATATGAACGTAAATATATAAACTAAAAGATAATGTATATGATTGTTTTATATAGAAAATTACATTTCTTTTTTTCTAAATGTAAGTTACCTTACTGGTATTAAATAAAGGGTGTTATTTAGTGGTATAGTAGATATTTTATAGAAGTTGTTTAGCAAATATATAATATTTGCAAAAAAAATTAACAGCGTTTTAATTAGATGATAGCCGCTAATTATTGCATATAAATTTACGCTAATTGTACTGATTCTTGTTATCATCACATAAAGTCGATTTGAAAAACACAAAGCGATTTGAACTTCACTGCTTAAATCTAAGAAATCTTTAAGCATGCTCATACTACCAAGGTGCTCATATTACCCTAATCTATTCTAATTAAGTATAATAATTTTTTATAACTATTATAATTACAATGATAGTTTATTATAATTAAGTATAATATTATAATAATTAACAATTATTTACAATTAAAGATCACAAATTAATTTTTAAAAAAATGGCTTGATGTACCGAACTTGTTCATATGTAACTTCTGAAGCTAATATTAGCTAATCTTGGCTTTACATTGTTTCATCAACTATTTAAATACTTGAACTTAACCAACAAAACTTAAAAAAATATTTTCTCAACAAAAAACACGCGTTTAGACTTCTATATATAAAAAAATAAACATGTAAAACCATTTATTAGAGACATAGAAATGATAATTACATAAAAAATAAATGTTTACCAACATTTTTTAAATGTATAAATACAATAAAAGATTGGTTTCGAAAAATTATGATAAAAAATAAAAAAAAAAAAAACATGCGAGAAATGTATTCTCGTTGGTTCTCGCATTGAACCAACCGAAAACCAATAAATTGAAAAAAAAAAATTATAGATTTACTTTTATTATTTTTGATGTACATATTAATGAAGGTTTTTACTATTTATATTGAAACAAAGTTATAAATATTATATTTCTAACAATTGTAATTTTATTTCAAACTTATAAAATCTACATAAAAAAGTGGATTTATAAAAACAGGTAGGAGCTCAAAGAAGATACGCTGACGTCACTCGGTGTAGTTAAGGCGATTTACAAATGATTCGAATTCTTTTATTTGGAATTAACACGATTTTATCAGCGTTTTATGTCCAAACAAAAGCTTTATAAAGCTTTTGTTTGGAAAAATTTGAAAAAAAAAGAAAATTTTTTTTAAATATTAAATTTGAAGCAAAAAAAAATTTGAAGCAAAAAAAATTTTGTCATCTAAATTTAGATGACAAAATTTTTTTTGCTTCAAATTTTTTTTTGCTTCAAATTTAATATTTAAAAAAATTTTTCTTTTTTAAAAATAATTTTCGAAACTTTTCTTCTACTCCTAATAGTGAATCTAAAGAACACCATTTTAAAGTCTTTAGATTACTTTCACTCATCGGCGTAAACATGAATTTAGTTAAAATCTTTTGTTTAAGTGCCTTAACCCACTATAGATCTCAGCTCTAATCGGTTCTGACTTATATTAATTATATATAGTTGTCAAAATACAATACTTCTATCAATTTTCTCAAAAAATACAAGAATTCCGACCAAGAAAGACCTTATAGTTAAGAAAAAATGACAATAAACAATCAGAACAGATCATATTATTCAAATATGATGTTCATTTCACCTAAAAAAACTTATTTATTTAAAATCTTATTCAATTTTGGACAAGCAATTGTGATTTTAAGAATATTTCTTTTTTTAAAAAAAAAATTCTTCGGTCTGGGTTTTTTCGCTACGATCAATTATATTTTATGATACCGCAAAATTTATCATTTTATTTTTTTCGTCTTTTCATAATTCACAGACCTGATCATTCAACGGAAATATTTTGCAGTCAAAATATTATACAGACGCTATAATATTTTAAAATTGCCGCAACTACACCGAGCACACGTTTTTAAAAGTTTTTTAAGTAAATGCAATTTTATTATCTTATTATATAAGCAGCAAAATATACGTTTAAAAAAATAATAAGTTTTCGTTTGACTCTTGATCTTTGTCCAATAGTTCGTTTAATATTTTTATATTGGCGTCAATAATATCAATAACCGTTTTTCTTGCTTGAAACATGAGTCGAAATTTAAGCTTATGCCCAGATCACCATAAGCTAAGTTGATAAACTTTACAAAATAAAAAATTTAATTTTAATTTACTTAGGAAAAAAACTTCGTTAAACAAACAAATTTAAGTATGACACAAATGATCATCTTAATAAACGTACTCATTTGATCTTTTGTATATTTTTTTATGTTAATCAACATAAAAAAAAATATACAAAAGATAAAAAAAATATTACTGAGATGAAAAGTTAAAACTATTCATTTATTGTAATTATAATTACATATAATTAAAAGTGGTTGGTTTTAAAATCATTTTTACAGAAAGAATTCATTTTATTAGGAAAATATTTTAAAAGTTCATGTTGAGTTTGAAGTTAAAACATTTAGCATTTAATAACGTAATATATATATATATATATATATATATATATATATATATATATATATATATATATATATATATATATATATATATATATATATATATTACAGTATATAAGATAAAGGTAAAACAAACATTTGGTTTAAGGTTTGAAAACAGGATAGCAAATGTGAGTTGCTATTAAAAGTGATTTAGTGTGAAATCATTTTTAGTTAACAAATGGTAAAGGTAGGAGTAAAGCTGCTCAAATAAATGTCGCGTGTTTTCCGATGTTTTATATTTACATTCTCTAAAGAGCAACAAAGTCATTTTTTTTTTTTTTTTAGTTTTGCAAAATGTTTGATTAGTATAAGTGAAATATAAACAAATTTGTTTTGACACGACTTTTTCTATTTCTGTGATTAGTTAAAAAGTTTATTTAATGAGAATTTTTGAGATTGATGGAAAATTGTTGAGATTGATCAAGAAGAAGTAAAAAGCAAAAAATTTTATTTTTTTTTGGTCAGAAGAAAGAAAAAATAATGAAAAGGTTACTTTAATTTTTTTTTCTTTTTTGGATAAAATAAACAGCACTTTACTTTCAAGTGTTAGTCATTAGAATCGAAATTCTTGATTTTTTTCTCCGAACTTCTAATGTATATGAAATTTTGTGAGTAGCGCGTTAAAAGCAATTTTGCAAAACTTAAATTTTATTAATAATTAGAATTTAATTTCACAAGCGGCTACTAAGGTTTTACGTGTCAGATAGTTAGACTTACAAAAACCTCGACCTACTAAGTTTTTCTACAAACAGAACATCTACTAAAAAGTGGAGCTAATTTTCAGATAAGCTACTGAGGCCAAAATGTTTTCAATCAATTATAGTCTTTTTTATTTTCAACCGATTTATGACTTTCTTTTTGGACCGATTTATTTTTCGACCTGTTTATTAGATTTTCTATTTCAACCGATTTGAAATAAATTTACTTTCAACCGATTATCTGGTCTGTGTTTTTAACGTTGTTTACGATTAATAAGTTTTCCAAGCATTCATCGAACCTTATACCTCCCGATTCTGAAGACAATGCTTCAACCAGTGTGGCGAGGCTGGTCAAATTTGGCTTGTATTTAAATCAACTACAAATTATACAAAATACATATCGGAAAGACGTAGTTTTAAAATTGAAAATACAGTAAGTTGAAAATTCAGTAAGTCAATAATACAGTAGGTCAGCGATTTAGTAGGTCGGAAAATTAGTAGTACATGTTTTAATTAGGTGTAAATATAAAAATTAAATTTTCGGTTGAAAATCTGAAACGTCATATATATATATATATATATATATATATATATATATATATATATATATATATATATATATATATATATATATATATATATATATATATATATATATATATATATATATATATATATATATATATATATATATATATATATATATATATATATATATATACTGACGGATCCAGGGAAAGGGGGTGGTGATAGGGATATGCAAAATATATTTCCAACAATGAAGATTGTATTTCGCTAAAAAAAACGAATGCTTAAGAACCTTTCAACTTTAAATTAAAAGATATTTTAATATGAAGTTGAGTGACATTAAGCTAAGATTGTTTGACATGTGTAAAAATAAAGCAACAGTTATGTACGAAGAAAAATAAAACTTTATTTTATTTTACAAAACTAATGTTATATTAACTTCACACAAAAAATTGATTCTACCAATATAGTATCTTTTAATTTGTAAAAATAAATAGTTGATGGATTATAAACTAATTTCTGGCGTCTAGTTAAATTATTACTGTATTAGATAATGCGGTAATGACGTAGTGATAGAGCGCTCGCTTCATAAGCGAGAAGTTCTGAGTTCGATTCCCACCACGCCTCTGGTAGTACCGCGCTCAACTCGTTTTTCCGCGCAGCGGCCTTGTTCGTCAAGGTTCGTGTTTCGGAGTTATAGAGTTGAGAGAGGGTTATAACCACAAATAAGTAGCCTCCTCGTCTGTAGTGGCCTTTACGGCCTTGAGGAAGTCAATTAACAAAAGAAAAAATAAGCTTTAGTTATTTTTTTTCAGAAAACCAAAGATAAATAATGCAACTAATAACATCAGTTTACTTTTATGCAATAGCTGTAAAAACCTTTTCCTTTTTAAAGAACAAATTAATTACAAAAATGCATTAAGTAAAAACTCAACTAAAAGTTGACTTAATTGAAATAATTATTTTTATTATAGCTTTTGTTTGTGGAAATAGTACCTAAGCAAAACAATGAACCGGCGTATTCTTTTCTTTCTTGTTTAAATAAAAATATTTTCTTACATATGATATTTTTTTTTGATGTTTTCTAACATCTCTGTGTAGTAAACGCACAATAAATGTTTGAAAATCTTTTATCTCACAAGCCATTTATTGTGTGTTTTGTTTTGAAATCTTTTGCTTAGAAAAATGTTAAAGCTGTTCCTTTTTAAAAAAACCTTAACCATTTATATTAATAGCAGTGGCTGCAGAAGATGTTTTAATGAAATGCAAACTATGTGACTCATTTAATGCTTTTGAAATAGGTGACATACCTTAGTTGGGTTTATTTCTGTTGAAGCAAAATACCTTGTAAGCACACTTTGTTTGAGCTTTTCTTTGGTGAGTTGATGGATTCATTTCTAAATAAAAATGTTTGATTGTAAATAGTCTAAGCTCTTACAAGTTTAGTCCAGTTTAGCTAAAGATCCATCAGCTAGACTAGTTTTTAGAGATAGACGCAACGAAGTGTACCTATATTAAAAAAATAAAAAATAAAATCATATTTAAAATACCGTGAAAGATAAAATATGAAAAGATAAGTAATTAAATCAATAAACGCATGTATGTTAAAATAACCTAACTAATGAATAAATATTTAAAATATATAAAATAAATTGAACTGACATAGGTGCGAAGCAGTAACAAAAACTGGCTTAAGTACGAACTAGCATAAGTGCAAATTGGCATAAGTGCGCAGAAAAAATTTACAAATATTGGCATAAGTGCGAGCTGGAATAAGTGCGAACTGGCATAAGTGCGAACTGGCATAAGTACGAAGCAGTTTCAAAAACTGGCATAAGTAAGAATTGGCATAAATGCAAAATGACATAAATATGCTGAATAAATTTGCAAACATTGGCATAAGTTCGAACTGGCATAAGCGCAAATTGGCATTAGTGCGAAATACCAACTTGCACTTATGTCAATATTTTCAGTTTTATTTGGTGCATTTATGGCAATTCGCATTTATGCAAGTTTTTGTAACTGTTTTGCATCTTCACTTATAGTCTTGGGGCACTAGTTTCATATTTGTATACTATTTATTTCACTTTTAATTTTATTTTTCATTTTTCTCATAAATAGGTTTTTATAACGTTCACTTGAATTCAAACGACAATTTTTAGTACTTTTACTCAACCGATTGACTTGAAATTTTCACAGACTTTTCTTCAATATTGGAACTAGGTTCTGAACTAAAAACAACTATTTAGAATAAACAGAACTTGTTTATTCGTACTTTATTTTTTTAAAATGAACTGATTTTTAATGCTCGAAAAGAATTGTCAGCCATTATAGATTGGTACATTTTTGAATTTTGATTTTCGTTCAGAACCTTCTTTACTATATTATCTATATGCTGTCATATATTGGTTCAAATATTACTTATAGATTCTGAGAAATTAATGTTTGGAATTTGATACTTTTTTGATGATTTTTGCTGACACTGCTTTTTTTTAAACATTTTAAAGAAAAGTTTTGTCAATTTTTTTTTTATCAAATATATTAACAAACATTTTTATTAATTTTTGAAGAATTTAGTAAAAAAAGGGTAGAGCCAACTTAATATCCCTTTATTTAAATATAGCTTTTTGTATATTTATGTATTGAAGCATTACTACTTTGTTTTACGCAAACAACAACAACAAAAAATTTAACTCGTTATTTTTTCAATTTTATTAACTCAAACCTATAAACAATAAAAATACAAACTTTTTGAATTTGAATTACAGAAAGATATTTAGTTTTCAAATATAGCAAAAATAATGCAGCGCAAAATAAAATCCGGGAGAGATATGATAAATTCCCTACCGAAGAAATGTTCTTGAAAAACGTACCAAATCTATATCTAAACGGGAAGCAGTAGCGAAAGCTCTCATATTACCTAGATCACTTGGTAATACGAGTACTTTAAATTAAAACTTTTCATTGAAAACAAAAAACTTTTAAAACAAAACTTTTCATTGAAAGATCAGGTTTTAAGTCACTTTTTATTCAAACAATTCTACTTTGTTTACCCTTTCTCTCCCCCCCCCCCCCAACTTAAAAAAAAGTTTGTTATTTTTTCATTTTATAAACCTTTAAACGAAAATAAAACATTTTTATTAAATTTAGATTACTGAAAAATATTTAGTATTATTATTATTATTTTATTTATTTAACACCCAATTTACAAGGTAAAAAGAAAAAAATAAGAAAGTTATTTCGGATGACTTTGCTTAAAAACGTTTTCTTCCAGAATTTGGTTGAAAACTCCTCTTTGCTCTTTTGCATTCCAGCACTCTATTGCATACTTCAAGTTTCGTTCAACTTCAGAAGGAATTTTACTTTTAGAAAGTGGTATTTTTACCTTCTTTTTATTTTGAATTAGGTTTTGAAAATTTAATATCTGAAGACGGCATAGTTCCTGAATATCACTAACAAACGAATGTTGAAATAACGGGTGTTGCAGTTGTGAAAAGATAATGTCTGCAGTTGTTTTGTTATTAAGAAGTCGAAGGATCAAGTTTAACTTATTTTGTTGAACACTTTTTGAAATTTCCTGGATTTTAAATAACGAATTCATATAGTTTTTACTATGTTTCGAAACATTTAAAAGCGATTTTAGCGCACTCCTTCCAATTATATCTAGCTTTTTCATCAGACCAGGATTATTTTCACATAGCTCCATACCATAAGTTAAGGTGGGGACTGCCAATGATTTATATATATAGGAAATAGAACTGGGGTGGGCAAACCGGATTCCAGATTGAATAAGAGTTTGAACAACAGCTCTAAAGTTTGATATTTTTTCATCAACATTTGAATAACCGAGTGAAGCAAAAACTGAATGTTTAGTATCCCATGTGAATCCTAGATGTCTAAGTTTATTCTGAAGATTTTTTTTATTACCAGAAATTGTTATTGTATTAGTTTGTATTTGGGCTTTACCTGAGATCAAGAACTCAGTCTTTTCGGCATTCAGTTTAATACAATTTAGATTACTGTAAATATTGCATGTTTTTATAAGCTTTTTGAGACCAGATAAGGTAGAGCTTAAAAGTATTATATCATCCGCATAGGCTACCACACCAGTAAAGTTACCGTTTGTAGATGTGCCAACAATACCCTGATTTTTAATAGTTTCGAGAAGACTTTCAGTGTAAATATTATAGAGGTGAGGCGAAAGAATTGATCCTTGTCTTACTCCTTGGTTTAGAGGAAAAGAGTTTGATTTACAACCTTGATATGAGACTGTTGCGCTACTATTGTTATACAACGAGGAGATAGTGTTACTATACATAGTGGTAATTTTTTATCGAAATATAATTTTTCAAATAGGATATTCTAGTTACAGCTATCAAAAGCTTTTTCTGCATCTAAAGAACAAAGATACACAGGGGAATGGTTGCTGTTGTAATGTTTAATTGTTTCGCTTATTAGAAATTCAGCATGTAGTGTTGAAGAGTTAGCATTGAATCCAAATTGTAGGGAGTGAGTATCTCTAATATCCGGACATATAATTAAGATCAGGTATTCTAGAACCTTTGTAAAAATTGGTATAATACTAATACCACGATAGTTGCTCGGGCTATCTAAAGACTTTTTGTACGATTTAACAAGGGGTACAATAGTTGACGTCGACATTGATATTGGAGTCGATCCATAATTAATGGAGTAATTAAAAAATTTGATGAGCCATTTTGTTAAAGTATCGCACTTTGCGTATTTCAAATGTTCTGCTGAGGTACCGAAAGAGTCAGGAGATTTTTTTAATTTTAAATTTGAAATAGCCTCAATTATATTTTCTTCAGTTATTGTTACATCATTATGTGTTGTACACGGGGGAATTCTCTGATTTTCTTTACGATGTGTTATTTTTGGAGTATTCAGTACTCTTTCGAAGTGGTTTGCGAATTCTGAAGTAATGGATTCTTTGTCTTTTTTATTATTTATGGTAAATAATCTAGAATTTATGTCTTTGCTTAAACATCTAAAAGCATTCCAAAAGTTTTTTGGTTTTGTATTTTTTAACTTTTCAATTTTAATATATTGTGCGCAAGTTTTATTATTTTGAGCCGACTTGACGGCTTTACGAAAGTTTTTACGAGCCATTTGGTAACGATTAAATGATACCGAGTTTAACTCTTTAGAAAAACCAGAATCTCTCCATTTTTTAAAATGAATTGAAAGAATAGTTTTAGACCGACTTAATTCAGGAGTCCACCAAGATTTTGAATACAAACATTGCTTTTTATTTTTTAAAGTCTCCTTAAAAGCTATTTGAGCGCTGTCAGTAATTTTTTTATAGATTTGGAGAAGGTTCATAATCGTTAGTAAAATTAAAATTGTTAAAGCGATTGGTTAAATGAACATTGTAAGAATTTATAAAGTTAAAATCGTTCCAAGCGTAGCTAGGAATATTAGTATCTTCTGCTAGTTCAATGGTATTACATTCGGTGTACTTAACTTCAACTGATATTGATAAGATTTATAAAACTTGTATATTTTGATACGGCGAAGTGATCAATATATGACGAATTCGGTAGTGTCTGGTGTCGATATGAATAATTAGGGCCAGAACCTTTAGTTACATCTACTAGTTCTAATTGATTTGTTTTTAAAAATTCCGTTAAGTGCACAGAATAACTACTTCTTTTAGAATTTGATCTTTCAAATAAATCATACATTTGGTGTGGAAAGGATTGGAAGTCACCTATTGTTAAATTATAAATTTTTTTTTAATGTTTTGCTTTTATTCATAACGCAATTAAAACCACTGCAATATTAGGACTTAAAACTAGGTAATAAAAAACAGGGTAATTTTAAGCAAATTACACAAAAATGGTATCTTTAAAATAAGTCAAAAAAAATCTTTCTATGCATTGTTTTTCAAACAAAAGTAGAACAGATTTTTAGCTAACATATTTTTCTTTATGACTAATATTAATTAAAAATTTTTTGCAACAAATTGTTGTAACTTTATTTAAAAAGTGAACAAAACATAAATAATTGTCAGGTGTTCTTAGTTGTTTGGTTTTATTAATTTGTATTGTTCATTTTATTTATTTAAGTGTTTTATACAACAAGTTCACTCTCAGTAGGTCAAATCGCAGTTATTGCATTTTTTAACATAAGCAAAAAACTCTGTGTAAATAACCTATTTTTTTTTTTTTTTAGAGTTTGACAACAACTGGTTTCTGAATTGTTTTCTGGAACAACTATTTGACTTAAATATACAATCGTCATAAGAAAATAAAAGATATGAATACCACGTATATAAATTCTTCATATATAATTGCAACAACTAGTTCGTCAAATGTGTCTATTCCAAGTTATATGTGGTGCGAAATAAAAACAAATTGGGTTAACGTTCTTTATACCGTGGGTTTTGTCTTCATTCTAATTGGAAGTGTTGTTGGAAATATGATTGTCTTAGTTGTTTTTTGTCTATCAAAACAACTTCGGTCCCGTTTTACTTTTCACTTTATTGTTAGCTTAGGTGAGCATTTTAAACTATAATTTAATTTTCCATCATTTTATGTATTTTATGTTGATTTTACAAAACAATGGCCTATTTTTTAAAGAATAAATAATGTCTTTAGGGGCGGTATATATTAATCTGTATACATACAAATTTTGATATATATATATATATATATATATATATATATATATATATATATATATATATATATATACATATATATATATATATATATATATATATATATATATATATATATATATATATATATATATATATATATATATATATATATATATACATATATACATATATATATATATATATATATATATATATATATATATATATATATATATATATATATATATATATATATATATATATATATATATATATATATATATATATATATATATATATATATATATAATCATTTTGTAAACAAAAAGTTGTTGAGGTCAGTTGGTCAAATAATTGCGCCGGTAGTAGGAGTTTTTGACAGTCTAACATATTCTTTCAAAAAAAATTTAAATCAAAAAATGAATATCTTTTAATTAATACAATATTTTATTAACTAAAATATATTCTATTTTAGTTAATAAAATAACAGCATTAGTAATGATATAAAGTTATAACTTTAAAATATTATTTAATTACAACACAAGGTTGTAATGTTGCAATATTACGTTACGACACAAGGTTAAAGTGGAGGTTAAGCTACTAAGATTTTAGATATCTAGTTTTTGTTTTATTTGTTTCATTTTATTTTCAGCGATATCCGACATGCTTCTTGCATTAACCTGTATTCCTTACATTATTGGTGAAAAGTTATACGATTTTCAATTTTGTTTTAACAAATCATTTTGCTTTATATATTTAATTAGCGATTCATTGTTTAATGTTTCTAGCATACTTGCGCTTCTTCTCATCGGAATAGACAGGTAACAATAAAAAAAAAATTTTTATCTAAAATATTTTTATGTTGTTTGATGTGTTTTATATTTTATTTATTTTGTATTTAATTTTTAAAATCTGTAACAAAGTTTATAATAACTGCTAAATAGAGAAATTCATTTTTGAGAGCGGTTTATCCGTTTAAAAGTTTAATCGTGTTTTTGAGGACTGCACACGCCTCACTTTAACAAAATTACTTTGGCAGTAACAAAATTTTAGATTATGTTTCTGTCAACCTAGAGGGGACAAGGCGTCTTTTATACCTTTATAAAACGTATTAATACGTTTTTAAACGTTTATTTAAATGTCTTAACATGGACACGTCTTGTGTCCACTGGGAATATATTACAAAACTTTATTATAATTTTTTGTTTACTTTATAAGTTTAGAAAAAGTTTTTTAGCTGTATTTTTTAGTATTTATAAAAATAATTTTGTATAACTTTGATAAAAAAATTCATAATTCAAAAATTTAAAAATATTAAAAATTTTCAAACAATTTTATTCTAGATTTATTGCCATTGTGATGCCTTTCCAATATGCGAGTTTCTTAAACCGAACAGGAGTATTAGTAATGCTTTCATTAGTTTGGACTTTCTCTTTTGTATGGGCGATAGCTGGCGTTTTCGATTGGGATAGAAATTCAGTTACAAGTGTAAACGTAAATTACTGCTCAAACACAAATTATAAGTTCTACGTTGCATCTTTTTTTGCATTATATATGGTTCCATTAATTATAATGACAATAATTTATTTTATAATTCTCAAAGTTGCAATTTTGCATATCAAAGCTATTGAGGCCACTCAAGTTGATAATTTACCGAACTATTTTAGTACAATAAATCGCAATAATGGTTTGAGCACAAACGGTAAAGAAAAAAGTTCTCAGAAGAGACAACTTAGTAAAGAACTTAAAGCTACTAAGTCAGTTGCGGTAGTCTACTTTGCTTTTGTAATATGTTGGTTTCCGAGTTTGGTTATTAACTTGATTATTTTTATAAATCCAAACTATTTTCCGAACCTAAAGAAAACAAATAAAAACTTATTTGACTTTATATTTTATACATTTGTTAAATTATTACCTATGCTAAATACAGTTATCAATCCAATTATATACAACTTTTTTAACAAACCATTCAAAACATCGTTTGTTCGACTTTATAAACGAACAAAAGAACAAGAACAGTTCAACAAAAGTCGACAGTCTCGAACCCAAAGCTTAGAAGGTGGTATTTCTTTAGACTCAATTACTATAAACAGCTTCATCAACAATAATATTTCTTATACTTAAGCGAAACAAAACGATAAATTACTCAAACTGATGAGCTAACCTTTTTTTAAAACTCTGTTTAACTTGTATCGTTTATTAGAATTGTTGCTATAACAATGGTTGTTATAATCTAATTTTTTTAATTTTATATTAAAAGTTTGTAAATTAAAGAAAAATACTTGGATAAAAGAAGGCTTTTGTTTAGTAGAATAATTATTAAAAATAAGGAAATTTTTTTGCATAAGTTATACTTATTTTATACTTTAAGTTTTTATATTTAACTATTATAAGATTATATATTTATTAGATTTTATTGATAAAAAATGCTAATTGAAATAAAAGTTAACTTGAAGGGTTTAAAAATACTCAACCAAACTTTTCCGTAAAATTATATTTTTTTTGTTAGGGGCTGTCCATTAATTATGTCAATAATTTATTGGCAATTTTACCTCCCTCTATCTCTTAACTTGTCAAATTTCCAGAGACCCTATAAAATTACGTCAATATTTGTTTAAACCCCCTTTTTTACCCCAACTAAAATTGTAATGGAAAGAAACATCATTTTTTTTTACTTTTTTTTTTGAATAATTAAATTTATTTAAAAAAGTAACGTTGTTGACGTCAATTTTTTTTTATCTCCTCCCTCCCCTTTGTCAATAATTGTCAAAAATTTTCCAATCCCCCTCCTATTTTGTTTACGAACCGTTAGAACAAAAACTATGGTGTTTAAGCTAAGGTTGTGGTGTTGTGCCACATAATACTCAGGTGAAAGACAACTCTAACTCCAATATGTCTATAAAAACCTCGGACTAAAATCTTTTTTTATAAGATTCATAACTAAGAGATGTTTTTTCAAGAAAAATTGAAAAATAACGGAACACAAGAATATAATTATTGATTATAACTGATTTAAAAAAAAATTAAACCATTACCTACTAAAGATATGAAACCACTACCAACTAAAAATGTATATGTGTTATTTTTGAGAGAAAAAAAAAGAATAATTTTATGGAAAAAAACAAACTTCTTAGTTGTTGCTTTTAATTTTCATATTAGAGGTTTAGAGCAGATAAGCAAATGTTAGCTTACCTGCTCTAAAAAAAGCATGCGGGGATACTTTGAGATTAGCAAGGTATTGATTTATTGTATGATGAAATCAAATTTGTATTTGACTACCAACTTATTATTTTTTTTCCTCCTGGTATTAAAGTTGCTTCAAGAAGACCTGCGGATTTCTTATCTTAGAGCAATCAACTAGGAAGCTTGCGCCGCTTTTTATACTGATGCTGCATATGTAACCTAAAGTGATATTGAGTCTTGAACCTTTTGATTCTGTTAAGGGACAAAGTACTGCAGCTGCTTAACCACTTCGCTTTAATTCTTTCTTTTAGTATAGTAGATAAACGTTTACCAAATTAAAAAAAACCTAATCAAGAGAAGACAGTTAATTATGAAATTTTATTTACAGTCATTAGAGTAGATATTAGTTACAATTATTGACAAGATCAAATTTGGCATGCGCATTCTTGCTGATATTCAACTTATTTGACATTATCGACAATAAATATTGGTAAAAGGTTTTTGTATTTAAGCTGAAATTATCTTTGCAACTGCAGTTACCAATATAAAACGGCATACTTACTTAATATGATATGATATCAAAACAGTATTTAAAAATTTCCAATAATGTGTTTATTTCAAGAGGTTGGTTTTACAAGGTAGAAGTACGTTTAGACAAGTTGCAACTTTAAATAAATTGTTAAATCTGAATGACGGAAAACATAATAACAAAGCTTTAGAAACAATGCAAAACAAAAAAAAATTAATTTGAGGGAGGAAATAAATTGATAGTTTGCAATTGAATAGAAAAAAAAAAGCTATCGGTATTTTAAATTTTATCTTTTTATCCTTTTAAAAAATGATAAGGGGCCCGAGCGTGTGTCTGCAAAAGTTCCTAAAATGTTATTTAAAATCGACAACGTTAATTAACATTCGAGCCAAATCTTCATTGACTCCCCATAATTTTCTTACGAATTAAAAAAATATTGAAAGAAATTTAATTTATTTAAAAAAAAATTACTTTGAATGAATGAATGAACAAATTTTGAATGAATGTAAATAATTAAAACTTAGAGATCGAATAAATATAAAATAAAAAATATTTTATTTTATATTTTATGTATGATTTGTATCTAAAATTAGTATCTGTCATCAGCTTTTTTGTACTTATGTTTCGTCGTAATTGGTATTTGGTTTTTTAAAAACTAATTACTTGTTTTAAAAAAGATTTTTACACTCCCAATCTTTTTCTTTCTTTTACATCATTAACAAATGTAAAAAGAAAGTAAAAGACCCATTTAATTAATGGTAATTTTTTTATTGATTTTTTTTTTTTTTTTTTTTTTTTTGGTTTACATTTGTTAGTCGTTGTACAGCTTTAAATAACCAATAATAAAAATTATTATATAAACTTACAATGATAGAAATATAACAAATATAAACAAGGTATCTGAAAGAAGATCGCAAGGATCTTGTCGTTGGAAACTTAAATAATTTACAAAGATAAGATTAAAAATAATAAACTTTTACAAAATTGCAAGGTAAATAATCTGTGTCTGAAAAATTGCAAGGTAAATAATCTGTGTCTGAAAAATTGCAAGGTAAATAATCTGTGTCTGAAAAATTGCAAGGTAAATAATCTGTGTCTGAAAAATTGCAAGGTAAATAATCTGTGTCTGAAAAATTGCAAGGTAAATAATCTGTGTCTGAAAAATTGCAAGGTAAATAATCTGTGTCTGAAAAATTGCAAGGTAAATAATCTGTGTCTGAAAAATTGCAAGGTAAATAATCTGTGTCTGAAAAATTGCAAGGTAAATAATCTGTGTCTGAAAAATTGCAAGGTAAATAATCTGTGTCTGAAAAATTGCAAGGTAAATAATCTGTGTCTGAAAAATTGCAAGGTAAATAATCTGTGTCTGAAAAATTGCAAGGTAAATAATCTGTGTCTGAAAAATTGCAAGGTAAATAATCTGTGTCTGAAAAATTGCAAGGTAAATAATCTGTGTCTGAAAAATTGCAAGGTAAATAATCTGTGTCTGAAAAATTGCAAGGTAAATAATCTGTGTCTGAAAAATTGCAAGGTAAATAATCTGTGTCTGAAAAATTGCAAGGTAAATAATCTGTGTCTGAAAAATTGCAAGGTAAATAATCTGTGTCTGAAAAATTGCAAGGTAAACAATCTGTGTCTGAAAAAAGATCAAGAGGATCTTCTCATCAGATTTTTATACAAGAGTAAACCAACATATAAATTAAAAATAAAAAGTATAAGAACAATAAATAAAATAAGTAGGAATAAACTTCTATAAACGTAAACATGTATATAAACAATAAAAAAAAAGTAGACCAGAATATATTTTTAACTTATACTACTAATAATAACTCAAATATTATTAAATGAAAGAATGAGATTTTTTTAGTTTTTTTTTAAAACGGCAAAAAGTAATAGGTATTTCAAAATTAAAATTCGGCAAAACAATTTTATTCCAAAGGTGTGGCGCTCGATAGGTAATACAGAATTGATTAAAGTTTGTTTGACAAAAAGGTTGATTTAAAAACTTATTATTTCTGAAAATGTACTTACTGATTGGTTTAAAAGAGAAAAGATCTTTGAAGACAATAAGTTATTTATCCACATATATACAAAACATAAAATATTAAATATTCGTATATATTCAGAACTTTCATTTCAATAGAATAATGCTTCGAATGAGAGAAGCGATTTGCAAAATTGATTATACGGATTGCGCGTTTCTGACGGATATAAAGACGTTGCAACTTACTTTTTTTGTAGTTCTCCAAGCAATATTGGGATAAATTAAATAACTATGTATAAATGAATAATAAAGTTGGATTAAAACTTTCTTAGTAAGATACAATTGTGATTTTAGAAATTTTTGTGTTTATACAATCCAATGGTGATTCCAAGTACGGTTTTCATCAAGATAAACACCTAAATATTTTGGAAACAAAATCTCTTTTTATTTCCTTTTGATCGATAAAGATTTGAGGTAATTTTGATGGGAGAAATCGCTTTTTTGTAATCGAATGAAAAAAAAACCATTTTGTTTTATTAGTATTTAAGGTAAACTTTTATCAAGGTTATTACACTTGAACTAGTTAGATATATGTCTGAGTTCTTCGTTCACTGTTTTAAAAAGTTCAGCGATATCATAGTTAAAAAAGAACAAGTTTGTATCATCTGCATACATAATACTCGTTAGTTTCGAAGCTTTATTTAAGTCATTTATATAAATTAAAAAAAGGAGAGGTCCAAGAATTGAACCTTGTTGAACTCCCCAGGTTATATTAAGAAAAAGGGGTTTGTAATCATTGTTAAATGGTACAAATTATTTTCGGTTAGATAGATAACTTTTGAACCATTTTAAAATTTTATTTTTTATTCCGTAGTATTTGAGTTTATAAATGGATTGGTGAATAAAAATTCCATGTTTATATTGTGGTTTTTTGAATGATTTTGAGATTTCACGTACAAATTGGATAATTGCATGTTTAGTTGAGTTATCTTTCTTGAAACCAAATTGATTGATGTAAAGTAGACAATGATTGTAAATGTATATTTTGTTGAACATGATTTTTTCTAAAATTTAAAAAAAATGTGGAGAATACAGAGATAGGGCGATTTCAGATTTGTACCCTTCTTTAAAAATAGGAATAATATTTGCAATTTTTAATTGTTCTGGGAATACTCCTTGATGAATAGAAGCCCTAAGGACTTTAAAAAGAACAACTTTAAGTTGTTCAAACCAATCTATAACAACGTTTCCATTAATTTGATCTGCTCCTATTGCTTTTTTTAAAACAGATTTAAAGGCTCTTTCAAACTTATCAAACATTAATTCAGAAGATAACACATCTGAATAAATGCATTTAATTATTCAGGGGTTCTAGATAATTAGTAAACAAAGACTTGGGGGTTTTTTCAGATAGTGTTGGTCCTATATGAGTGAAATATTTGTTAAACTCTTGAGCTATAGTTTTTGGTTCTTATAAACTTTTGTTATCCACTCTAACCATTGGTGATAAGAAGCCAGAGCATGATTTTTTTTTGCTAATAACTTCTTTCATTATTCACCACGTGCACTTTATGTCGTTTTCAAATGTATTGAATAATTGGGAGTAATAAT